ATGAATTTGCACAACAGAATTTACATACAAGATAGAGTTTTAGATAAACTTGCAGAAATTATGGAGTGGTTCGCAGACAGAAAGCAAAAAAGTGAGTAAAAGGTTTTTTTGGAATTTATGGTTCATTAGAAGCTTGTCATAGAAAGAAGTTAATAAACAGAATTAAGAATGTTATAAGAAGGTAACAACAGGAGAAATATTACAAGAGGCAAAGAAGATTCATGATTTATTATTAAATGGAATAATTAGAAAGATGCAATGGTTGGTTACAGCAGTAGAACAAGAAAACATTGTCTATGGAAAATATTTTTACTACTTGCAAAGAAAGAAGAGAAAAGAAACAAATGATGTCAAGACAAGGGACAAGAGAGTTGAAGCCCATGAGTGAAAGGGGCAAAAATGGGGGGGGGGGAGAAACACCCAAAAAAAAAATTAAAAATTCAGCAAAACAAATACTTCCTACATATTAAATAATTTTTCAGAATAAATGTTATATTTGCACAAAGAAGATGTCTGCTGGGATATATTCCTAAGGTTTTTGCACAAGAGAAGGAGAGATGCTATTCTAAAACAGCAGATTGAGGCACACTCAACTGTAGAAGGGAAGCAAATGCAAATATTTGAAAATGTTTTCCCTAGTATGTTAAAAAAAAAAAGGAGACAATTCATATTTCTTGCAAAAGTCCTAAGAACTAAGCACAAAGAACTAAACATTAAATATACATGGAGAATTGGAAGACTGTTAGGGACAAAAGAAATAACTGCTAGGACAACAAACAGAAGCTTCTTTATGTGAAAATAGATGGAAATCACAACTGAAAGAAAAATAAAAGAATCAGGACAGATCCACAAAACCAGTCCAAGAAGACTGGTTAACTGAGGGAGTTAAACAAAGTCAAATAAAATTATAACATTTAGATTTATTGGATATGAAAAACTTTCAAAAGAAAGTAAAATGTCAAAATCATTTGGAAAAGGCAAACAACTAAGAAACCTTTGGTATAGCAACTCAGAAAAAAAGAGAGAAAGCAAGAGAAAGGGAATAAACTGCTACATACATACTTTTTACATTTTTGGGCCAGTCACTCTCTCTCAGCCCAACTCACAAAATAATGGAGGAAAGAGTATTGTATGTGTTAACCATTTTGAATTATTTATACAAATAATAATCACAGGAAATAAATAATCAGAAATAATAGCAGTTGCATAATTTTTCAAGGAACTATATTCTTTGAAAATATGATGATAATGGAGGAGAATAATAATAAAAAACAGAATATAGCAGTAATAATTTTAGATCCGCAAAAAGGCCTTTAACAACCTGGGGCAGTGTAGCAGAAATTTACAGGACTGGTAAAGAACAATTGATTTAATTTAATTTAATTAATTATTGATGAAACTATGGTAAGAGTAAGATTCAAAAATGATTTTGCAAATCTCAAAAGAAAGGCAAATCAGCTTTCCCTAATCTTGGTTTATACTACAGACATGTTGTGAATATTGAAAATATTTGAATTAAAACTGCAAATATATTTACTAAGAATGATTCCAAAAAGTATACATGAAAAATATCATAACCTATAAAAATATATGCTGACAATGGCAAGAGTCAATTCACCATAACATTGGAAAAGAGAAAATGTGCCAACGATACAAGATTGTGAGACCAAAATTGGAAGATATGTAGCAGTTGAGAAATTGACTATATATGTGTACAGCAAAAATTTAACTAAATTCAAATAGGATAGGCTTGCTCACATACAAAATTGTACCCAGCAAGGCAAGACTTTTGTTTTTGAGTTAAGTTGCTATTTCAACCTGTGATATTCTTACTGTATTTTACAAAACTATATAGTCCTTCAAACTGAATTCCTTTATGCTGAATTAGGCTTGTTTTGCAAATTGCTGCACAGTATTACAATCATGCTTCTTATTTGGAATGGTTGTTTCATCTTAATATTGGAAGAACAGCTAAGTTGAGGGAGTATGCTTCAGTATTTAGAATCTTAAAAGTAAACCTGAAATAGAATTCAATTCAAATTGGAAACCATTCCTCAACTATATTATATGGGTTTGTGCAACATCCATACATCACAACCCGACTTTTTCCCCAGGTGCTTGGGTCCAGTTGAGAGAAGTGAGGGGCGCATGACATGGATTTTGTAATTTGTTAACTAACACAGTTACTTTGTCTTTTAATTTAACTTATTTTTCTCTCTTTTAAAATGGTACTACATCTAATTACAGCCTGGAATGTAGGAAAACTTTTTATCCTATTGCTGTACGGATTGATCAATAGCTTTTCCTAAACTGGAAAGATAAACTGGCTATCTGATTAAAAAAAAGTTTGTTAGTGCAAATGAGGGTCTGGTTTGTCTCTTCATTAACTCCAAGCAACCTTTTTGACATCAGACCTTATTTTAATGAATATGTGGGATATTATGGGATGCAAATATTTAACATGTAACTGATTTCCTATGCAAAGGGGAGATTATTTTTATCTCATCCAATCAACTTCCCTCTTGCATTTTCTTCGTGTTAACTATAAAAAGGAATGTAAAATGGGTCTTGAGGCTCTCCCCTTTTTATAGGGGTACCCCAATTAAATGCTTTTAAATGACCTTCTGATTCAGTTTCTTATTGGGAAGGTAAACTGAGGCAGAACCTAGGGCCAGATTTGGCTATCAGAAGTCCCCTTCTGATTGTTCCATTTGCATGTTTTATCACATTCATTTTATATCTTGCATATGCTTTTAATGTTATGTGATTATTTTGCTTTATTGTTATTTCTTACTGTACATCATTTACACTAGCTGAGTTGCGAAGCCCTATAAATCCAATCAATCAATACCCATCAAAATTTTGGATTTTTCCATGAACAGAATCCATATATAACTTTTACCAGATAATTAAATTTACAAGATAATTAGAGCAGATTCTTAGCAAAGTGGATTGAATTTATTGCAGCACATAATCTTGGTAAATTATATACTGTGTTGACTATGTTTTTGATATTCATGTTTAGCTTAGAACTTAATAACAATTTTTAATCTTGATATATATTCAATTATTCATAATTAACTATGCTAGAAAATTATCATATTTATGGTATTTTAATTCCTTATTTATTCATTTATCTTTTTTGTTTGTTTATGTATCATCTTTAAAATGTGTAATAAAAATTCAACTGAGGAATCTTCTCCCATAATAATATAATCTTTCTTTTTTCTTATTAATACCATTTTGTTCTTCTGTCTAGCATCTAATATGCTTACTTTGAGGACAAGCAGCTGCTCCTCTAGGTTGCATAAGTTGAAAAAAGATTAGAACTGTCTTTTCGGATAAAGTCTAATGCTCTGGATTAAGAAGATGATGCTAATTTAAAAGCCTTAATGGGATGGTGCAACAGAATTAAACTTCATAAATACACAAAATAATTTAAAACTATGACAAATGTAAATATCAAACTCTAGCATTAGTATTATTTTAAATTCAATGAATATTTTTATTGGAATAGGGTTAGAAATATAGCTTGCTTAATTCTCCTGAAGTTTACCTGAAGAGGCCAAACAGTTTCCATTTCTGTAAGCAAAATTAAAGGTAACTATTTTTCCGGATTTGTATTTTATCTAAAATACTACAAAGTATACCACAGTTTGCATATAATGCTATGGTGTTGCCATGGTGTCACTTTCCTCTCACCTGATATCATTTAGGGCACATTTTTGTCAAACTGGCATAAACATCAAACCATATTGACTCACATCTATGGAAATGTAGATTTTAATGCATCACTTAATATTCTATTGATAACTTCTAAAAACCTTCTTAGACATTGAAAACCAGCATTCTGGAATATAAATCTGACTAGAATTCTTCTTAGCACCTGGCATTTTAATGTGCAGAAAACTTTTCATATTGTCAGCTCTCATTCTAGTGCAGTATGATGCATTGGGGAATGCCACATAAGACTCCTATTCCTCTATAAATTCTGTTAATTCTTTTAATATATTTGTTTTAAATAAAAGCATACAAATAAATTTTCAGAAGCACTTTTCTCCAAACATATTTGCACTTTAGGAACAGTCTATCCATATATATCAGAATATATCAGTATTTATTAATAACATATATTTCTGGCACCTAGTAATGTAAAAGGAAAGTAATTCACTCAAGTATTCCAGGAAAGATGGAAAGAGGAAGGGGAGGGAAGGGAAATGTTGTTTATAGACAGCTCTCAATTTACAAACATAATTGATCCCAAAATTTCTGTTGCTAAGTGAGACTGTTAAGTGAGTTTTGCCCCATTTTACCACCTTTCTTGCCACAATTAATGAATCACTGCAATTGTTAAGTTAATAACATGGTTGTTAAGTGAATCTGGCTTCCCCACTGACTTTGCTTGTCAGAAGGGGTGATCACATGACCCTCGAATATTGAAACCATTATAAATATAAATCCGTTGCCAAGCATCTGAATTTCGGTCTGGTGACCTTGAGCTTGTAGAGAAAAGGCAGGGTCTAAATCTAATAAATACAAATACATAATCTATCTTTCTCATCAAAATTATCTTTGCCGGACCCATTCTTGGACAATCAGTCATTTTATAAAGTGTAACATCAAAGAACCAGTGCAGAGCCTCAGAACAAAAACTTGGACATTGTATCAACATTGTTACTGTGGTTGGTGTGGGCTTGTCACCCACTAAGGAAAATTTGAATAATTTTATGAGCTTTAATTCCTCTAGTCCAATTAAATCTATAACATTTGGATATGAAAAGAGAGCACCTAAGAAAAACAGCATCATCTTGTTTTGTTTCTTTAAGATGTAAAGTTTATAAGATCATATATATTTGCAACTATTGTAGATGAAGCACTTCATTCTGAGAAAAAGAAAAGACTGTTTAAACACAATGCATGATGGTTGTTTTTTGATGTGTTATTAGTTATTTCCAAATAATACTTTAGTAAAATCAGAAATAAAATTGTATTCACCTTACCATTAATATCTGCAAATTTCTGAACATCAGCCAGAGTTTTCAATTCACTACGTGGGCATGCTGATACACAGAGAGCAATGGACTTGATCTTCCGACGTACTAAATCTACATTGCATGGCTCCAGAAAAAACACAAACCTTAAGGAAAAAATGCACATACATGTTGATTTAGATAAAGAACCTAAAACAGAACTTTCAAATTTTAGAAGTAAAAGCACTATATAACATACCATTTATTTAATTATACACTTCCACTTAAGATTAAAGTGGTGCCTCTCTGTAATGATGATGGATGTTAAATATCTATATTTAGTATTATGGAATCACCACAAAGAAAACCATTAGCAACTCATGTGATATCTACTCACATGCAACATATGTCTTTCTGAATAGTCAGCATTTTTTCTAGTTACATCTGACTATACTATTCCTAAAATGCATTTCTAGGTAATAAACAAAAAGTTTGGTTGCCCATGTACTATCTATCTATCTATCTATCTATCTATCTATCTATCTATCTATCTATCTATCTATGGCTATATTTTTGCTAAACACCTTGCATTTTCCTTTGAATGAATGCAATAAGAGCTAAATTCAGGGAACAAGTAATCAAGCATTGAAAGAAAGTCTGTTAAAGTATGTATTTATTTTATCTCATTCAGAAACATAGCAATATATCCACTGTTACAGAATGGTCCCAACATGTTAACTTCTGGAAGCTTCACAATTTCCACTTTTGAACATAATGCAATTTCATATCAAAGGCTGCAGAATAATCATACTATATATTACCATCCCACCTGATTTACCAACTTTAACAAAGCTCATCCTGTACTGTCAAGTTACATCACTATCATGTACTTTGAGGCAGTTAAGGAGCAATATTATTTTTTAAATGTAACCCTCACAACAAAAAAACTGCTTGTCTTTGTTTATAGGTTTTGAGAAACTAAGAGCCTACTGTATTCTGAATGTGATCTTTAAATTCACAATATATATAGTACTCCAATTATCATTCACATTGCATGCGTGTCAGAAGCTCTGAGGCGCTTCCGGATTGAAAGGATTAGCTGGTGACATGAACATTACCCAGGGATGCCCAGTTGGGGGCTCCTTTCATATCCTTTGTTAAACAAATCTCTGCAGTTGTTAAGTGAATTAAGTGGCCATTCAACAAATCCAACTCCCCCTATTGACTTTGTTTGTCGGAAGCTGGCTGGGAAGATCGCAAATGGTGATCACATGATCCCAGGAGGCCATAACTATTGTAAATACATGCCAGTTGCCAAATGCCAAAATTATGATCTCACAAACATGGGGATGCTGCAAGGACTGGTCATAAATCACTTTTTTCAGTGTCATTTTAATTTTGAACAGTTGTTAAACTAATAGTTGTAAGTTGAGGACTACCTGTATTGTCCACAATTTATTTATAGAGTGAGGTTTTGGGGCTTGCAGATATGCTTGACACACAATTGAAAAGACTTCTTTTTTGTTTTTGTCTGAAAGGGGAACTCTGAGAAGCATCCCTGACAAAGGTCTTAAAAGTCAAGAATTTTTCTTTGGAAGCCATTTTGACGAATGGTTTGGGGTACTGTAACAGTTGCAGGAAAGTAATTATTTAGCTGTGATCAGCACCATGAAGTAGTCCTCTAAGATGAAATAAGAGTTCCCAAACTGCTCACCTTAGAAACTTTTCCATTGGCAATTTTGCTATCCTCAACACATCTGGAAACCAAAAAAAACCAAGTGATCTCAATGCAGAAATGAGGGCTCTTAGGATCAGTGATATCACACCTGCATTTTTCTTGCTATTTCAGAATATAGTATGTTATATTGATTTATGCTATATACTATAGAACTACACAGAAAGCACATGAAATAATGGTATCTTAGTTACTTTACCCACCCATTATTAGTATCACTATTGCTATTAATGCCTGAAATATTATCCCTTCATCCGTCAACCAACTTTTTTGCATTTTCTTTTGGCCTACTTTACAAAGGACCATAAAGATTAGGATACGTACTTTCAAAGAATACTCAAAAAAAGCAAATAAAACAGTCATAACTATTGTCTATTTCTTGCACAACATATAGAAAATAAGCAAGATATTTAAGCAAGTAGAAACAGCAAGAATGTTGCGGAAAATGACATAACACTGGCTTTCTTCATTTTAAGAAAATTAAAATTGAGCAAAGTCAAACATACTGTAACATGTAGGTTTTAATAAGTACAGTAGATAAGTACAATTGTCTGCAAACAATTCCCAAGAGGAGGAAAAAATAGAGGACAGCTCAAAAAGTCAGTATGACTGCACAAGAAGTCAATATGGTTGCATTAGTGAAGTTTAGTGAAGATCAAAAAAAAGAAAAAAGACACATCCAGGAAAAGTAAAAAGTCAGGTTAGAAAAGAGTACAAACTCTAGACATGTTTTCAGGGACACAAATGCCCAGAATGAGCTAAGCAAAGAATGTTAACAGTAACAAAATGCTGAGAAAGCTGACTCAGTATCTGGCACGGAACGCAGCCCCTTGTTGTTCTGCCCCAATGCTTGCCCACCAGTGCTCCAGTGATCTGGTTTCCTGCCCTTGCTATTTTAAAGTACAATAAACTGTAATAACACTCTCCTTATCCATGATTTAATTGTGGACGAGCGAGCCAACATTGTATGTATTATGCAGAGTAAGCCTGTCTAAACAGAGGTAAGAGCCTTTCTAAGGTACCTTATGACGATAAGGGAAGCAAAATGTAAGGTTTTTTTTTTCTTTTTCTCTTATTGCACCAATAGAGTAGGTTGACAGCTGTTTTAGGTGACTAGGTCTTTTGGGGTAAAGGTGTAACTATGGGAACATCTATGGGGTTGTTATGAAGGATCTTCTAGGTATCCCTGTGTGTGTCTAGAAACTGAGATGCCAAACTTGAAAATATTAAGAAAATGTTGGGCTAAAAATATTTTTGAACATGTTTTCGAACTTTCCATAAAAGTATGAAAGTTTTCTGTAAAAAACTTTCCATTTTTTACTTTGATATGAATGAACTACCTCATTATAATGGAAATCAGTTTTCTTCTACTATCCAATCCTTTACTAATGGACATTGCTTCTGCACTCAATAAACCTTAGCACTGGATTAAAATGATAAAGGCTACTGTGTGTCTTCCAGGTGTAAATACAATTTTCACACTTTTGATTTTTATTTTCAGGTCTTGAAGAAGCAGAAAAGACAAGGCAGATAAAATCTCAGCCTAAACTAAATAATTTGGCTCCTGTTGATTCATTAAAGCTATCGATGTATCATTAGACCAAGTCACACACACACATTTATTAATTTGTTAATTAAGCATTTCACGAAAAATGAAATTTTAAGACAACAAAATATAGGAATTAATTGATGAGTTTGGATTTCTGTTTCATATGAACTGAATACTCTCCTTGTAACAATAGCTCTTTGGGTGTACTTGGTTTAACTACAAAATATACCATTATATGATACAGGATATTATAATTGCTTGTTCAATGCGTTGTTTCTTACATCCTACAATGCATCTGTCATATTTTGAAGTATAGAAAGTTAGAATTCTATCTTGGCTCATGAATAGTATTGCTGTAATGTAGTGTAACTATTATTACATTCCACATATTTTTTTTTTCATTTCCCTGAGATTGCCACACAAATTTCTCCATCTGTTCAGCAGCCAAGATAGCAGATGGTTTTAGTGCAGGTTCATGAATTGTACACATAATTATTTCATGCTCCCGTTTTTTCTCTAAATGATTATTATAAATCTTTAGGTTTTTAAAGGAATTTTTTACATTAGGAAAAAATTTTTATATTAGGAAAAAAGTAAAATTATCTAAGATTTTTTTCAAGAAACATAAGTAAATCTTGCAGAGGGAGCTAGAGGGGCTCAGACCAATTTAGTCCATATAACAAATAGAATAAGATGAATAGAATAAGACTTACTGTACTTTGAAATACAACAAGCCTCTTTTCCTTCTTGAAGATAAATAAAATGTCTTCTATTCAAACATTGTCACCATAAGTATCAATTTAAAAGGTGTGAAATGGACATGCAGTTTTGTACCATGAATGCAGAGCGGCTAACACTATGGAATCTGTGGAGAATTTTCATTCTTCATTTTGCTTTGAGGCGTGCATTCAAATGCATATGCATTCAGAATACTAACTTGCCTTGTAAACTTTTTAAGGATGCACAAACTATTGTAAATGAGTAACACTGCCTTTCTTTGCATTTGTCTTTTACCATTGTGGGGTTTAGCATGCCATATCTCCCTCTGTCTGTCACTACCATAATATTATCACCTGCCATTTTTCTGGGGGCCCCCAAACCACCAACCACCCACCCCTACTCTTTCTCCAAGGGTCCATAACACACCAACCATTCAATTAGCTTAATGGTCAGATGTTACAAAGGTACCTTTTTCCAGGACTCCATAGCCTTCATTTTAATCAGCAGCCTATATTCTGTGCCACACCATATCTGTACCTCATCAAAAACCAGATGATACCACTCCTCCTAGCTGTGCCATACTGACCCAAGTAATCAAAGGTAAACAAAATAACAATCTTCATGGGGTAATATAAGCTGGCGTGCACTTTTCTCCCTCAACTCTCATGCAAGGGGGAATGGGGGACCACACAATAATCAACACTCATCCCTGAACATCAAAAAAAAAAAAAAAAAGTCCAAACCAACTATAGTATCTCAAGGCCAGTCCAGGAATATTTCACTGTCATTGTCTTTCCCATAACCACGAATGAACGTTGGCTTACCTGAATGTCTTTTTTCGTTGCGCTGAGTCTCAATTTATGTCTGGGATTTCCTCATCTGTTTGTCAGGAACTGAGCGTAATTTTTCTTTAAATTTGCATAGGCCACACCTCCTTTGCCCCTAGATTCTCAGTTGTTTCATGAAGGCTTCGTCCACTAACGTGACATATGAAGAAGAAAGAGAACACTGCCCGGCCCCCAAGGCCAGTCAGCCGAAAGGATGGGATGAATTGAGATGCAGCGCAACGAAAAAGGATGTTCAGATAAGCCAATGTCCATTTTCCGTTACGCTGCTTAGTCAATTCATATCTGGGATATACCCAAGCAACACACTTTATGGAA